TATATATATATATATATATATATATATATATATATATATATATAGTCACAGGATGTGGCATACAGCACAAGGAATAGACTCAGTGGAACTGTAACAGCTATATACAATGTCAGGGGTAATAGATTGGGGGAGGGTGGTTATCACTTTGTGAGGGGTATAAATGTTTAACTAGTACATTGTTTTGCACACCTGAAACTAATAAAAACAAAAAAGAAAGTAAAAGTTCTAGCATTTTAGAGGGCAGTTTAGAGAATCTACCAAAATCCAAATATCTAAAAAGTTCCTTTAACCTTTGACCAATAATTCTCCTTTGATGTGCTTACCCAAAAGAAATATTTGCACATGTTCCCAAAGCCATAAATACAAACATAGTCACTGAAGTATTTTTGTAATGGCAAAAAAGAATGAAATCAATGTAAATGTATATTAATAAGCAAATATTTAATAAGTTGTTGTTCCCTAAATATTGTGCAACCATTGAAGTGAGATAAAAACAAGGTCCTACATGAAAAGATTGCTAAAATACAATGTTAAATGAAAAGCCATGCTATAAAATGTTTGTGGGTTGTGTGCGCATTTTTATGTAGGCTCCTAAAATGCATAAGGTCTAACAGCGCAAATGCGAGATTCTTAGTGTTTAGGAAAGGTGGGGCATAAAAAAAAAGGTGTAAATTTTTAATCCTGTATATTTCTATTAGCTTAGTTGTCCCACAAACATATATTGCTTTTGTGTAGTTTTTTAAAAGTTATCAAAAAAAATACTTGTGATCTATCTAGCAAATAAGACAGAAGCCAGATCCTTACCTAACTTTTATTCAGTTTCTCTGCAGTTTACCCCCTTTCTGTGTGGCCCTTTTGTTGTATACTGTATATAACACTTTCTTTTCATTTAACAATGAATTATGAATTCTTATAAAGACAGACTCCTAGAGACAGTGGATTTTCAACATAGCACCTTGTAACTGGAAGCAACATTTTTAACGATTATGATCATTTAAATGTCTTCAGGTCTAAAATATGAAATCTTTTGTCTTGGAGAAACTGCCTTAATCCATTGGTCTAACAGAAGGATTATGCATTTATTGGCCTTGTTTTCAAAAACTGCAGGCCATGCATGCTCAAACCAAGAGCCCTAGCTTGAAGGCACCCCCTTCTTTCTCCATTGTTCTCATTCTCAGTAGACACTTGCTGTGCTTCTGGAAAAAAAGGGTATTTAAGGTCGTCTCACTGCCTATGTGGGTTCTGCCAAGCAGAGCTTTGGATTTCTAGACTTCCTTTTTCTTTCATAGTGGGAAGTAACTGGACGGGGACCAAATGGTTCAGAACTGTGGCATTTGGAAGGCATCACTGAGAGCTACACTGAGCTGGCCAGACTTTGATGAAAGGGAATGTTCTGGTCTTTTCCTGCATAGAATTAGCACTCTAGTTGGGAATGTGGCTTATAAAAGATTAGTCTGTTTTCTTTGTAATTTTTTATAAGAAGCAGCTTAATAAATGGAAGGGCTCATAGTTATCTGAGTGTTTCATTTGGATATCTTTTTGAAAATGAGACCTTGCAAGGAACATGGCTGTTTCTGTCTAAACTCTGAAATGATCACTTTATGCTAATTTTCTGTTTTCTCTTATTTGAGATAATTTTGCTCTTGTTTAAGATAAATTTTAGACTGAAATAGTTTCCTTATGTTTTTTAGCCTTTCAAATATCATTGAAAGTCTGCATATCCAGAGGAATACATGTAGTCAGGATTTTAATATGAGAATTTTAAAACTTTCCCATAATTCTGTCTTGCTAACTTAAAATTAGTATAGCTGTTTTCATGTTTTGTTTATATTTTTACCTTTGAGTGTCTCTTCATGTAAAAGTGGTGAGGAGGGGTGGTTTGAGAAGAGTAATGCTGCTGTGGGAATATTTTTATGTCTTTTTTATTAGATCTGCCCCCCCTTGCAGAATAATCTGCCATTATCTTGCTCATATGTAATGTCTCAGAAAGATAAATTATTGAGTAGCTGCTGTTTGCCAGGCATTGGGCTAAATGCTTTGTGTGCATTTCTCATTCAACCATCACAACCACCTTTGGAAATAGGTATTATCATCCCTGCTTGACAGAGGAGGAAACTAAGGCTTACAAAGTTTAGAATCTGACCAGTGAGATACAGAACTGGCAATGAATTTAGACTTGTCTCACTCAAAACCCTATGCCCTTAATCTCCATGTCATACCATCTCCCAGAGTATTCCAGAGCATATTGGACAACTAAACTTATTCAATGAAGGCTCTAAAAACACTTGCTTTATTTCTTCATTTTTTTATTTCTCCATTTCTTTTTCTCATTGCCTTACTCTTCTGATGGAAATGGTTATGCAGAGAGCACCCTTTAAGTATTTATTTTTAGCTTTGTGTAAATCTGCTCAGTTTCAGTAGACGTCTGTACTTTGTCCTTCTCTGTCTGTACTTTGTCTGTACTCTGTCATTGTCCTTCGCAATGCCATAAAAAGAAAGGATTCTTCATGAATTGGATCCTTCACTGTTTGCTTAAGTTGAAGTTTGATTCATTGTATTCTTAACATTTCCAGTGCCATAATATCTGAAGTGAATGGTGGTTTTGAATATAAATTCTGCTTATCTAACAAAATTTTGTAACTACAAACCTAAACACTTAGCTGAAAAACCTCTTATCTTCAGGGTCATATCGCGGTATGACTTCCCGGTGTGCTTTTACATTCAGTAATTTCTACAATTTCAGGCTAAAGGAAATTTCCAGCAAATATAAAATAAAAAATGATAAACACATACACACCTGTCATACAGTTTGGATAATAAAGGTGTTTTATGTTGGTTTTCCATTCTATTGTTAACCAGATTTTATTTGGTAATAATGTGCTTTCTCCTCTGTTTTCAAAGGGCAGCCATTCTACCAAAGTGGAAGCTGTGGTCAGAACTCTGATGAGAATCCAGTCTAGAGATCCAGGGGCTAAAGCACTCGTTTTTTCAACGGTATAATCAGCATTTCCATCCTCAGTATTAACACAGACTGGCTTTCTGCCTCTAATCAGTTTATATCTGAGAACTAATTTTAATGTTTATCGTAATATAGGTGAAACTTAGAATTACCGATACATTTTTCCCTGTCAGATTTGTTTTCCGTGTCCATAGGATAGAAATCTTTTTAGAGAAAGTTGATGATATTCCACAAGACAATTTCTTTAGCTCCATTTCATGTTTTCATTTTAATTTTACTTGGGAATTTTCTTATATTAATATTTTTTTAGTTGAATCTATAACCTTGAAAGTCTCATTTCACAAATGAACTTGGTTGTTTAAGAATAGGAAAAGGAATCTACTGAATAATGTATTGAGTAAAAATTCTAGTTTTCATGTTTGGAAGATGAGTGACCACATTCATTAAGCACCCCGTTATTTATTTTCTATGATGTTTATGTGAATTCAGTTCTCAAAGGTGCTCATGTTTCATACCCTATGTTTAACTAGCATTTGATTTAAAAACAAAAGAAAAAACACCATTTCAAGACAGAACTAAATAGTACTGATGGTACTTCCTTTAAAGATTTTGGTTTTGTGTTTACTTAATTCTGATGTACAAAAGTTATTTTGATTTAGTTCCTCTTCAAATTCTCTATATGAAAGCTTTGTGTAACTATTTTTCTTATTATTTTATGTGTTTTTAGTGGCAAGATGTATTAGATATTATTTCAAAAGCTCTCACTGACAACAACATGAAATTTGCACAGATCAGTCGTGTCAAGACATTTCAGGTATGTCAGGATTTTACTCATGTTTTCTGAAGTGGATTCAGTTGCAAATTGAAACTTCTGTTAACTCGCTTACTTGCCTTTATTGTCTTGTGTCTCGATTAATTATAAAATTAACATTCAAAAGCAAAGTAGAGAAACTGTAGTTATTTTCTTTTTATTTAGTTATACCCGTAGCAAGAGTCTTCTCACTTAAGCTCCATTTCTTTAATAGAGGAAAAGATAGCCTATGACATGCCTTTTGAATGGACAGGGGTCCCTTACTCCTGGGATTAGGTTCTAAAGACACTGCATCAGGCAAAACTGCATCTGGTCAAATTGTCCTTGCCTCACACTCAGCCCAGTGACAGGTGCACACCCTCAGAGACAAACACAGAAAAAGACCGAGTGAAAATTGAGCAGACTCATGGGTCTTGTCTCATACTCATTAACACGTTCTTCTCTTTCTCTCTTTTTCCTCTCAGCTCATATAGTTTAATTTGCACGCATCACACTCATGTATCTTGTGATTCCACTCTTATGTTATAGAGAGCAAGAGAGCTTATGTGGCACTTTTACTCATAAAGTCAGGCAGCAAGTTTACATTTTCTAAAATTGGTAATTTTACATTTAATTTTCTTAGCTATTGCATTTCACAATGATCTGGATACTGTGAGCCATATTTAACGAGCTATAACATACTGCTCTTATTTTTAACTGATCCAGCTAAAATGTATGTGTACCTTTCTTTTTTAGGAGAATCTTTCAGCATTTAAACATGATCCCCAAATCAATATTTTGCTGCTGCCCTTACACACCGGTTCTAATGGATTAACTATCATTGAAGCAACGCATGTTCTCTTGGTGGAGCCCATACTGAACCCTGCCCATGAGCTCCAGGCCATAGGAAGGGTGCACCGAATTGGACAAACAAAGTAAGGACTTAAATTAACATCCATCATTTTTGCTTCAAGTTTCTAAGACACAAATCAGTGTTGAAACTCTTCATCATAACATATTCATTTTTAATTTTGTTCCTATGTATTACATTTTCAAGTAGTAGTATATGACCAAAAGAAATTCTGAGAGATTTCCAACCCTACCTCCACTCCAAGCAGCAAACCCCCCAATTCTCCCAGATTTTGGTCTTCCTTCACAAACTACCTTCATCACTTCATCAAACATTTCTTAAAATATTTAAGACAACTGCAGAGTTGAAGGCATCCCTCGTATCTCTGAGAAGAATTGATTTTTTATTGTTTCAGGTAACCTGTATTTAAAAGAAGGCATGCTTCACGCCTGACCGGAAACAAATCCCTCCTCTTTAAATTCTTCCCCTTAGGAAGAGATAGCCCCCGCGCCCCAGGTCCCTTCTAAGAGATAATTAGATTTAGTTTGAGGCCCAGAGTAAGCCTAATAGTGAGTATTATATAGTCCGTACTACTTCTATTCAAATATCAGAATGGGCCTTTATCCTTTATAAGACCTCTCAGATGTATTACCTCCTGGGTATTAGATGCCTTGAATGTTTGTTTGTTTGTTTGTTTGTTTGTTTGTTTGTTTGTTTGTTTGTTTGTTTAAAAAATGCATCCATGCTAAGGTCTTAAATAAATCATGATTGAGCACCTACTCTATGTTAGGCATTGTGCTAGGTACTGAAGATGCAAATTGAGTAAGACAATCTTTTCCCCCAGTGAGGTCACTATGTAGTACAAGAAACAGATGATGAAACATATCATAGTAGAGGGTGCAAAAATGTAATAGACGTACCAGGGTAACAGAATAAGGGAGTGATCAGTTTGAGCCCTAGAGAGTCAGGAAAAGCTTGATTAGGTTGAATCTTGAAGGAATAATTATTTCAAAGCTGAGCTAAAATAAAAAGTGGTGTTCATGCAGCCAAAGAGAGTTTCTTGTCCAGAAACACAGGAGATAAACGACACAGTATTTCTAGGGACTGTAAGGAGTTTGCAGTTGCCAGAGTATAAAGCATGAGGAGAAGAGTGGCCGGAGGTGAGGTCTTCCGTGCCGTTCTCAGGAGGATGGACTTCCCTGTAAGCAACAGCTGAGAGAAACAAGGGTGACTTTAATTTTAAGCCAGAAAGAGACATGTTCACCTAACAAACCCTTACCAAAATATGGCAAAGTAATGTAATTGTAATAAATGCAAGCTTGTTCTAAGGTACTGCCATGTATCATTTAAAATGCAGTTACGTCTTGGTAGATTAGTTGGGTTTTTCTGTGTGTGGTGTTTTTGTTGTTGCTGTTTTGTCTTATGTTTTTAAACATTGACTTCTTGTCTCAATGTTTTCTAAAGCATGCACTGGACTCTGCATAAGGCCAAAGTCTGAAAAGGCCATTTAACACCACTCGGCAATCCTGCTGCACTTCCCTAGTAAACAGATTGTTCTGCGTCCTGACGAGAATATCTTAAGTCTCCTACATCTCCCACTTCCCCACTGATGAAGTCACCTCCCAGGGAAAACAGATACAATCAGATTGGAAGGACCTCTTCTTTCCATCACCAGCTTGAGCAGTCCACCTGTATTGATAGCTGCATATTCATTCAGTAAATTTTTATTGAGCACCTTCTGTCTGCCAGGCACCATGCTAGGTATTTGAGATGCTCTCATGGAGCTCAAATTCTAGTTGTAAAGGTTGGTAAAGAGACAGATGGTAAATAATACACATAATAAATAAAAGGCGTACTGTGTTAGGAGCTGGAAAAGTAGAGCAGGGTGAGGAGGATGAGCAGGCAGCTGGTGGGAAGGCGTGGAAGGTCTTATGGAGAAGGTAACACGTGAACAAAGATTGGTAGCGAGGTAAAGCCACACAGATACGTTCACCCGTAGGGAAGAATGTTCAGGTAGACGGTACACTTGGTGCAAAGGCCTGAGTCAGGAGTTTGCAAGGAGCCAGAGCTGCTGACGTAGAGTGAGCAGAGAGGAGAGAAACGAGATGAGGTCAGAGGTCCTGGCTGGTGTGTGTGTGTGTG